TATATATATATATATATATATATATAAATATATAAATATTTGGCTGTAACAGCCTCTTGTTTGCTCTCCTAACAGGATCTCTGTATATCTCAGTGACACTGTTGATATTTGTGACCTCTGTTGTATCATATAAACTTTTTTTAAGCCTTCTCTTCTTTTGCAATCAGCTCATACAGCAAATGTAGCAATCATTCGCCACCTCTCCCCCTTTCTTTCGTTATGTGCTGGAGAACACTTGAATAAATGTATTGTTTTTTGTGAAAAAGTTGTGTTTTCTTTGCAAGTATTTACCATAAAATGATAGTTTAGTTTAGTTTAGTTTAACTTTATTGTCTGTCCAGATTTCCTGAACAGAAATTCATCTTTGACACTGGCATAGAAAATACATCCTAACAAATAATACTACACATTCACATATCACAAAAAAAAAAATAATAATAATAATTAATACAATATATATGTATGCCCACACATGTGTACACACACCTACCCAGAAAGATACCTCATGATAATACCTCAATTAAGAATTTGGTTTAAAACGGTCACCGCCAATGGTACAAATGATCTTTTATATAGGTTCTTTTTAGCCAGCCTGCTTCCTGAAGGAAGGGCCTCAAAGCAGGAATGAAGTGGATGAGTTTGGTCTGAATAGACTGCGATCGCCTTTTTTTCCATAAAGTGTAAAAACAGCTCTTGCATTGTACTCTGTTTCTGTACCATACCATGATACAATATTATATGTTAAAATACTTTCCATCATCGATCTATAAACAATGGTTAAGACCACATAATATGTGATTATTAAGTAAATTATTAATTGTATATCATTATTAGTTAAATAACATTTAACTTCTAAAAATTTGTTATTTGTATCGAATGTTTCAATATAATATTCTGGAAAGGATGCATAATATTAATATTACGCATCCTTTAATATTAATATTTAACAATTCGCCTAACTCTCGCATGCTCTTTAAAACATTTTCCTCCCTCCTTTGTCCTCCGCCTCCCCCTCCTTCATCAACTCTAACAGCTGACGACTTTGCCACATTCTTCATTAATAAAATTACAAACCTCAGTGCACAGTTTGCCACACCACAAACTGACAAACACATTTTACCAGCAAACATACACTTGTTTTCATCCTTCTCTCCACTCTCTGAGGCAGAAGTCTCTAAACTCATCCTTTCCAATCATCCTACTACTTGTCCGCTTGATCCTATTCCATCTCATCTCCTTCAAGCCAGTTCTGCAGTTGTACCTGCACTCACTCACATTGTTTGCACATCCCTTCACACTGGTGTGTTTCCCTCAACATTTAAACAGGCTGGTATAACCCCACTTCTTAAGAAACCCACTCTTAACCCAACTCTTTTAGAGAACTACAGACCAATTTCACTTTTATCTTTCATTGCAAAAACACTTGAACGAGTTGT